TTGTCTCAATTTTTTCCGTTAGGTTTGTCCCACCTTTTTTGTTAGGTTTAGCTCACACTTTTCGTTAGGTTTGTCGTCTTTTTTTGTCGGGTCTGTCCCACCTTTTTTCTTGGGTTTGTCCTACTTTTTTCATTAGGTTTGTCCCACTGTTTTTGTTAGCTTTGTCTCACCTTTTTGTTAGGTTGGTCCCATTTTTTTTCGTTAGGTTTGACACACTTTTTTCAGTAGGTTTGTCCCACGTATTTTTGTTGGATGACAGGTGACAGATGACTGCTGATAGACAACAGATGACACATGATATATGACAGCTGACACATAATAGATGACAGATTACAGATGACGCAAGACAGATGACATATGACATATAAAAAGTTAGGTTTGTGTTAGTATATTTGTCTCGTTTATCCCACTCCATCTCATTAAGTTTCTGCCATTTTTTTGTTAGGTTAGCCCCAGATTATCATTTAGGTTTGTCCCACTTTTTTCTTTAGGTTTCTCCTACTTTTTCGTTAGGTTCGATAGTTCGTCAATACGATTGTTCGATAGTATGATAGTTCGATAGTACGATAGTTCGATACCCATTTTTTCGTTGGATTTGTTCTACATTTTCACGTTAGGTTTAAATCACTTTTTCCGTTAGGTTTGTCTCTTTTTTCGTTAGGTTTGTCTCACTTCATTTCATCAGGTTTATCTCACTTTTTTCCGTTAGGTTTGTCTTATTATTTTCGTCAAGTTTGTCTCACTTATTTTGTTAGACTTGTCCCACTTTTTTTTTCATTAGGTTTGTCCCACTTTTCCATTAATCTTGTACCAATTACTTCGTTTTGTTTGTCCTACCCGTTTTGTCCGGTTTATCGCACCTCATTTCCTTAGGTTTGTCCCACTTTTTCTCGTTAGGTTTGTCCACCTTTTCCGTCAGTTCTTTTCCGTGTGTTTTTTGTTAAGTTTGACTCACTTTTTCCGTTATGTTTGTCCCACTTTTTAGCATTAGGCTTGTCCCACTGTTTTCGTTAGGTTTGTCTCACTTATTTTTGTCCTACTTTTTTCTGTAGGTTTGTCCCGCTTATTTTAGTTGGATTGACAGGTGACCAATGATAACTGACATATGACAGATGACATATGACAGATGAAATATGGCAGCTGACACGCGACACATGACACTTGACAGATGACAGATGACAGATGGCATATGACAGTATTACACAAAAAAGTTAGGTCTGTGTCAGTATATCTGCCACGTTTATCCCATTCCGTTTCATTATGCTTGTGCCACTTTTTTCGTTAGGTTTCTCCTACTTTTTCATTAGGTTCGATAGTTTCGTAATACGATTGTTCGATAGTATGATAGTACGTTAGTTCGATAGTACGATAGTTCGATACCCATTTTTTCGTTAGTTTTGTCCTACATTTTCACGTTAGATTTGAATCACTTTTCCATTAGGTTTGTCCCTTTCTTCGTCAGGTTTGTCCCACTTTATTTCGTTAGGTTTATCTCACTTTTTTTGTCAGGTTTGTCCCATTATTTTCGTTAGCCATGCCCGACCTAGGCTTGTCCCAATTTTTTCGTTTGACTTGTCCCACTTCCTTTGTCAGGTTTGTCCCACTTCATTTTGTTAGGTCAATCGGACTTTTTTTAGTTAAGTTTGCCATATTATTTTCGTTGAGTTTGTCCCACTTAGTTCGTTAGGTTTGTCCCAGTTCTGTTCGATAGGCTTGTCTCACCTGTTTCGTTAGGTTTGTGCTACTTTTATTCGTTAGGTTTGTCCCATCTTTCTGTCAGGGACACCATTTTTTCGTTAGGTTTGCCCCACCTTTTTGTTAGGTTTGCCTCACTCTTTTCGTTAGGTGTGTCCACTTTTTTTGTTGGGTCTGTCCCACCTTTTTTCTTGGGCTTGTCCTACCTTGTTCATTAGGTTTATCCCACTTTTTTTCGTTAGCTTGGTCCCACCTTTTTTGTTAGGTTGGTCTAATTTTCTTTTCGTTATATTTGTCCCACTTTGTTTGTTAGGTCATGTCCCACTTTATTGTTAGGTGTGTCCTTCTGTGTTTCATTACGTTTATCCCACCTATCCTTTAGGTTTGTCTCACTTTATTTGTTGGGCTTGTCTCACCTGTTTCGTTAGGTTTGTGCTACATTTATTCGTTAGGTTTGTCCCACTTGTCCATTAGGTTTGCCCCACTTCTTCCGTTAGGCTTCCTCGCCTTTTTCGTCAGGTTAGTCTCAATTTTTTCGTTACTTTGCCCCACTTTTTTTGTTAGGTCGTGTCCCACTTTTTTGTTAGGTGTGTCCTTTTTTGTTTCATTAGGTTTATCCCACCTATCCGTTAGGTTTGTCTCACTTTATTTGTTGGGCTTGTCTCACCTGTTTCGTTAGGCTCGTGCTACTTTTATTCATTATGTTTATCCCACTTTTCCATTAGGTTTGCCCCACTTCTTCCATTAAGCTTGCCTCACCTTTTTCGTCAGGTTGGTCACAATTTTTTCGTTATGTTTGCCCCACCTTTTTGTTAGGTTTGCCTCACTCTTTTCGTTAGGTGTGTCCACTTTTTTTATTGGGTATGTCGCACCTTTTTTCTTGGGCTTGTCCACAGACTACTAAAGAATATAGACCTTGCAAGTCATTCATAAATCACAAATTCGTCTTTGCCGACAATGCGATGGGCCAGGGGGAGTGCGGGTGTAAACATATAGTAAAAGATAGTAAAAATGGCGGACTTCACCAGAACATATGATTTCCAAGGCTAACACATGCCGCACCGTTCGCAGCTCGATCCAGCGGCGTAGAATAGGGTGATTGTTTGAGGCTACTTGTTTATATTGAGCAAATATAATTGCGAGGTATAAAAGGAGCGATGCATCAGCCAATTCGTTTTCGAAATTCATCCTTTGATCTGCTTAACTGTACAGACTGATAAATCTGCTCGTAATAAACGACTCATAATCATGTTTTACTTCCCTCGCCAACTCGCGGGAAAGTATTGTAATCGCGAAAAATTTTGAAATTGAGATATTATGTTTTTTGGATGCCACATAACTTGTAGATCACGAAAAACCATGTCACTCATTTCCGTCAGTCTGTCTGATAATCCTTAGCCAACCTATAATGGAAAGTACCACTCGGATTTCAAGGAAACTTTCACACAAGTTTACTACTATGCCAAGGGTGAAAAAGCTTTATAGTTTTTGAAAATCGATCTACTGGCGGCGCTGCTAGAGACAAAAAACTAAAAAATAAAAAACGCCCAAACTTCGTTTCTTAACGTTTCAGAGGCTCCTGATCATTTTGGGATTTTTTTTGTACGGGTTGAAAGTTGGGGGTGATTGAATTTTTTGGCACTAGTATTTTTATACATTATATATTATAAGGCATAGATTTTTTTCTATCTCGAATAGATCGATAAATTACGTCATGTTATTTATACAAAATAAGAATACTAAACAATGAAAAGTGGTGATAACCGCAAACTAACTTTTCCCGAATTACATCAATGTAACTAAAAATATGTCATTACTTCACGGCTTTTTCAATTTTCTGTAGGTCTTTAGATCTCAATGATGAGATGATCAAATTTTATCAAACTTCTAGAGCAAATTGCTGTTGAAAAAGTCCATACTCTAAAAAATCGTTTGATAAACACGAGGCATGAATGTGAATTGACTCATTTTTCTTGATGAATTCTCTGTCTCATTTCAGTATCTCAGTTTGTCGTGATGAATGTTAGATACAGTATTATTGAATGAGTAATTGTATGGTTAAGAAAAAACGTGATGCATTGGCAAATATATCAAAAACACATACATATAATGAGTATCCAATTTAAAGTTGTAAGAAAGCATAATTCTGAGATAAAGTTTAATAAATGAAACTTTATGAAGCCAGGACACCTTTTTTTGAGAATAATGCATATATTTGAAAACTAAAACAATACAAAAAAACATGGTAGATTAATACTTGTGAGGAAAACATGATAACACCTTCATTAGTACCAAAAAGCTCGATAACCAATAAAACAATGAATATGGAAAAATATGAAAACTACTGCTATATTTTTTCAGAAACGTTTAATACCAAGTTGCTTGGTAGTTTTTCAAAGCCAATAAAAATTGTGTGCTCCAAAATAGTCATAATGTTTCCTAATAATAATAATAAATAATCTCTATTTCAAAATAACAGTGCACAATTACAACGTAATGTCCAATATCAATATAACCAGTGAATTTTGTCCCAGTCCATTCGACCTGCTCCCTGATAGACATTTCATCTAAAACCAGGTTGCACACGATGTTCTGGTTTTTTGACGCTAACTTTTTTACATTCAAAGCATTTAGTGCTTCTGAAGTAAAATCAGGAGAGCCATCAATTGACTGATACCATTTAGAAATCGTGGATGATGAGGCAAATATTTATTAAAAGTATTCCTTGCGAACTGGTATGCTTTTGGGGAGTAAAAAGATAGCGTCAAAGCAAAACATCTAATAGATGGGTCATATTTTTGTGAAGATGGGCCTTTCAACATCCTCTCGAATATTTGTTTGTCCTGAGGTTGATAAAGAGGCCTGAAAAACAAAAAGATGGGTGGAAGGTGTAATAGCACTGCTGCTCATTATTTTAGAGTTAAATGTAGTCTTTACTACTATCCAAAACTCAGTCTGGTCGATACCAAAGAAAAAAATTGAAATAATTTTACTTCTGTCCGTTATTCTATATTATCTCTAATTTAGAGATTTTTACCTCAAGAACAGACCCTGAAGAATTAGTTATATATGATTTTTCTTTAAGCAGCTTCATCAAGCCTCCTAATGTCTTGATTTTTTTCTTAAAGTATGTATTGCTAGTCTGAAGATTATGACTCTTGTTTCTCAGAGCAGTTATAGTATTCTTCATCAAACGGAAATTCTTCATCGCCTTCTCTGGTGTAGAAAAGTCTGATGAAGATAGGTCACCCACATACCTTCTTTTTCTGAAACAATGAGATATGATTGGAATTCATCATATGTGTGAAGCATTATGTCATTAAAATCTTATTAGATCATCTATTTTCTCAATATTTCTCACCTATTTTTACATGCAGTTGCAAGAGAAACATCCTTGAACCCAGCATCAGGCTCTGGTTGGTTCTCAGTTTCTGAGGCGGTAATTGTGATGAAGAAGATCCAAAACTTTGATCAAGATTGGAAACTGATGCTTTTTTTCCTGTGACAAGCCAGAAATGCTGGGTAGGTCATCAAATTTCAGCCTGAAACAAAAAGCAAGTATTATATTACTATAAATATACTATAAATAACTCACAGCTGTGTAAGTTACCTAATATCTGTAGAGTCAGTCTTTTCACTAATTGAATAAGAACAACTGAAATTGCGATATGTTGGAACAACAATAAGATACAGACATACCTCACATTTGGAAAACTAAACAAGGAATGTTTAGCCAAAGGGACAGCGCCTTTCCTCAATCTTCTGATTCCAGAAGAGCTACATTCAATATCACTTTGCTGAAAATGATTAGAACGTACTTCAGCCTGTTTAGATAATTTGTGGTTTGCTTCAAATGCTAGGAGAGATAACCATATATTCCTCTGTACTGGGTCAACAGGAAATCTGCAAATCAGTGACTGAATCAATTTTTATGTTTTTAAATTTGAAGATGATAAATAAAATTTTCCCAAATTAGTCAAACAAATCGAATGTGTGTGAACATGTAGCATATGCTACTTACTCTGGCTACTTATAAAGTATTTTTATAGAAATACAGGCAAATTGTGGTCATTGGTCATCCCAATCCAATGAATTATTATATAGAAAAATCTAAAACCACGCCGCTGGATGTAAACATAACCAATACTTACACATGAAATGAAAGATGTTGTTCTTCTTCCTTATAGTCCAAAATCTTACATACACAGCACTGTCTCACCATGATCACCTATTCAAACACAAAAATACCCCACAAAAGAATTAAAAACCGCAGCCGAAAGCGTGTAAACCACTATGCAAACCAAGTAGCAATGGCGGGCGCAATGGCGGATAGATCAGGCCAAATTTAGAATTATGAATGAATCGATGAAATCGACGATTCGCGCTGTTGCCAAGTGGATTTCTTTGCGTCCTTAAAATGGATCCGTAATAGAGCTTTTGTTGGTAAATGATACAATTGACCAATAATTTCTCACATTCTTCCATTCAATATATGCGAATAGTTATATATATATATATATATATATATATAACTTGAGACGTGGTCATTGTCGTCTAAACCAGTTAGGTGAAAAATTAAAGCTTCCGCCTTCTGTTGGGTATATATATATATATATGTTTGGCCGCGTTTAATCCAATATATGTGAAATGTAAATATTATTGACGACAGCATTCTTTAAAAATCCTATGTTTTACGCTCGAAGTGTTTGTACATGCAACATCGCAGATTCCCGCTGAATGTTGGATGAAAGTTTCATCAAAACAGATAGGTCTATATTCTTTAGTAGTCTGTGGGCTTGTCCTACCTTTTTTCAGTAGGTTTGTCCCACTTATTTTAGTTGGATTGACAGGTGACGGATGACAACTCACAGACAACAGATGACACATGACATATGACAACTGATACATGACAGATGACAGATTACAGATTACAGATGACGCAAGACAGATGACATATCACATATGACAGGTGACAGATGACTGATTACAGATCAAACCAAACCAAATCCAAACTGAAATATTACACAAAAAGGTTAGGTTTGTGTCAGTATATTTGTCAGGTTTATCCCACTCCATTTCATTATGTTTGTGCAATTTTTTGTTAGGTTAGCCCCAGATTATCATTAAGGTTTGTCCCACTTTTTTCTTTAGGTTTCTCCTACTTTTTCGTTAAGCTCGATAGTTAGCTTTTTCCTACCATCTTTGTTAGGTTTGTCCCATTTTTTTTTTGTTAGGCTTGTCCTACTTTTTTCGTTAGGCTCGTCCCAATTTCTTTGTTTGGTTTGTCCTACTTTTTCGTCTCGTTTGTCCCACTTCGTTTCGTCACGTTTGTCCCACTTCTTTTCGTTAGGTTTATCCCACTTCGTTTCGTTAGGTTTATCCCACTTTTTTTTCGTTAGGTTTGTTCAACTTTTCTCCGTTTAGTTTGTTCCACTTTTGTTAAGTTTGTTTCACTTTTCCCGTTAGATCATGTCCTACTTTAGGTGTGTCCCTCTGTGTTTCGTTAGGTTTATCCCACCTATCCGTTAGGTTTGTCTCACTTTATTTGTTGGGCTTGACTGACCTGTTTCGTTAGGTTTGTGCTACTTTTATTCAGTAGGTTTGTCCCACTTTTCCATTAGGTTTGCCCCACTTCTTCCGTTAAGCTTGCCTCACCTATTTCGTCAGGTTGGACACAATTTTTTCGTTAGCTTTGCCCCACCTTTTTGTTAGGTTTGCCTCACTCTTTTCGTTAGGTGTGTCCACTTTTTTTTTGGGTCTGTCCCACCTTTTTTCTTGGGCTTGTCCTACCTTGTTCATTAGGTTTATCTCACTTTTTTTCGTTAGCTTGGTCCCACCTTTTTTGTTAGGTTGGTCTAATTTTCTTTTCGTTATGTTTGTCCCACTTTGTTTGTTAGGTCGTGTCCCACTTTATTGTTAGGTGTGTCCTTCTGTGTTTCAAGAGGTTTATCCCACCTACCCGTTAGGGTTGTCTCACTTTATTGTTTGGGCTTGTCTCACATGTTTCGTTAGGTTTGTGCTACTTTTATTCGTTAGGTTTGTTCATTTTTCCGTTAGGTTTGCCCCACTTCTTCCGTTAGTCTTGCCTCACCTTCTTCGTCAGGTTGGTCTCAATTTTTTCGTTAGGTTTGCCCCATTTTTTTTGTTAGGTTTGCCTCACTCTTTTCGTTAGGTTTGTCCACTTTTTTTGTTGGGTCCGTTCCACCTTTTTTCTTGGGCTTGTCCTACTTTTCTCATTAGGTTTGTCCCACTTTTTTTCGTTAGCTTTGTCCCACCTTTTCTGTTAGGTTGGTCCCATTTTTTTTTCGTTAGGTCTGACCCGCCTTTTTCAGTAGGTTTGTCCCACTCATTTTAGTTGAATTGACAGGTGACACATGGCAACTGATAGATGGCAGATGACATATGACACATGACATATGACAGCTGACACATGCCAGATGGCAGATGATGCTCTACAGATGACAGATGACATATGGCAGATGGCAGGTGACTGATGACTGATTACAGATCAGACCAAACCAAGTCCAACCTGAAGCATTATACAAAAAAGTTAGGTTTGTGTCAGTATATTTCTCACGTTCATCACTCTCCATTTCATTATGTTTCTAACATTTTTTTGTTAGGTTAGCCCCAGATTATCATTTAGGTTTGTTCGATAGTACGTTAGTTCGATAGTGCGATTGTTCGATAGTATGATAGTAGGTTATTTCGATAGTACGATAGTTCGATACCCATTTTTTCGTTGGTTTTGTCCTACATTTTCGCGTTAGTTTTGAATCACTTTTTCCGTTAGGTTTGTCCCTTTTTTCGTCAGGTTTGTCCCACTTCATTTCGTTAGGTTTATCTCACTTTTTTTGTCAGGTTTGTCGCATTATTTTCGTCAAGTTGTCTCACTTATTTCGTTAGACTTGTCCCACTTTTTTTTCATTAGGTTTGTCCCACTTTCGGTTAATCTTGTACCAACTACTTCGTTTTTGTTGTCCTACCGTTTTGTCTGGTTTATCGCACCTCATTTCCTTAGGTTTGTCCCACTTTCTCTCGTTAGGTTTGTCCACCTTTTCCGTCAGTTCTTTTCCGTGTTTTTTTTTGTTAAGTTTGAATCACTTTTCCGTTAGGTTGTCCCACTTTTTAGCATTAGCTGTCCCACTGTTTTCGTTAGGTTTGTCTACTTATCTTGTCCTACCTATTTTCATTAGGTTTGTCCCACTTTTTTTCGTTAGCTTTGTTACAACTTTTTTGTTAGGTTGGCCCATTTTTTTTTCGTTAGGTTTGACGCACTTTTTCTGTAGGTTTGTCCCGCTTATTTAGTTGGATTGACAGGTGACGAATGATAACTGACATATGACAGATGACATATGTAAACGGTTTCAACGTCCGATCGTATTTATAAATCACTTCTCGATATTCATTTCATTAATCCCATCTCTAGCTTTCTACTTGGAAAATTTTCCGCTGGAGCGCTTGGATGCGGAGTTCCTGGATCTGCGATCTTCCTCGCGCTCTTTTTCACCTGAGCCGCCGATCGAACAACGGCTAGAAATTTCTTCTCAGTAGCACAGGTTATATAGCACCATGTGCTAGAATTTTCTAGAAAGTGTGTCCGTATAGGACAAAAATGATTGGGGCCACCCCCTTTCTCTTTCCCTTTCACTTGCCTAGCCTTGGCCAATATTTTCACCCATGCATGTACAGGGTGGCGCAGAGGAAACGCACGATTTTCATCTAAGCATAACATTTTTTATTTTCAAGATAACTTTGTTTCAGTTACAGCTAAATAAAGTAATGATAGTGCACTTTTAAACTAATGATGGTAAATAACGTCACTCAAGTGTCGCCCTGCTTCGCGCTCGCACATCTCCAACCGCTCTTGAAAGTTGTGCATTACACGTAAAATCATTTCTTGTGGTATTCTTGCAATTTCTGACGAATAGCAATTTCAGTTCCTGTAACGTACGAGGCTTGTGAGGGTACACTTTATCCTTAAGGTAACCCACAAAAAGAAGTCGCATGCGGACCAATCTGGGGAGCGTGGGGGGGCCAAGGGACATCGTCCGAAACGGGAAATCACATTGTCAGGAAACATCTGTCCAATCCATTCCATTGATGCTCTCGCTGTGTGAGCTGTGCCCGTCTTGTTGGAACCACAGCTCTCCCATGTTTACTTGTTGCCGTTGAAGTTCGGGTAACAGAAAATTTTGTAACATGTGAACATAACGTGCTGAAGTAACTGTTACTGCTCTTTCTTCCTCTTCAACAAAGTAAGGACCAACGATACCTAATTTACTGATTCCGCACCACACAGTTAATTCTCGCACAAAATTCTCTACGCTGTGCAAAATCGCCTTTCCGTATCTCTTGCACGATCATTATCTTGTACGGATGATATTGTAAATCGTCATGCAGAATGCGTTGTAACGACCGACGGGACATACGCAGAGTTGGAGCTTGGCGCCTAGTGGACCGTTGGGGACTATCAAGGACCCGCTCTTCTCACTGTTTCGATATTGCCTGGAGTCCGCACGGTACGGGGAAGGCCAGGTGGCTTCCTCTTCATTACGGATCCAGTACTTCGAAATGCTTCAACCCATCGGAGTATTGTGTTTCGATCTGGAATTGGCCCGTGGCGTTCAACATTGAACTGTCGACGGAATAAACGTTGCACGATCACTACAGAATCATCGTTTCGAAAAATTGCTCGACGGCAAACACACGATGCTCCGTCATCCACGGTGCCATGGCTGAAACTGCATCGCATGTGTTCTCTGCTGGCGGTGCGGCGAGGTCATATCCCTATTCTGTGCGAAATACCATTCGGTCAGAAACATGCGTTTCCTCTGCGCCACCCTGTACCTTGGCAGCGCCATCGCCTTTAACTTCGCCTACAACTGGTTGTGAAGCCACTATATGGAGGTCACCCCTCATAACTGGGACCTCCCCTTCAAGCCCCTGGCCATCCTGGCTTCAGTCGAGTAAAAATGGACCAGCGAAAGATAAGTCGATAGCGTTATAGCAGCGCCAAAGATGTAAAACTTATTTTGTTATTTTTGTAAAATTGTAATGTAATGAAAAATGCCTATTTTTTATTATTAAATAAAATCTGTTAAATTTTTGTGTTCTGTTTGTTCTTCTATCCTCTAGCCATGCCATGGTCGACACACAGCTACACGCCTGTAGATGTCCTCATGCCACCGACTGAGCTACCGGAAGCTAATTGTAACCCCCCTTTCTGTGATTGTGCAGAAAAGTTGGAATCTTCATTGCATTCCATCTTTTCTGGACTTTTTGCGGAAAGGAAGCGTTACATAAATTGGCACCCGCAACGTGAGGCTTCGATAGGTGTTTGGCTTTGTCGACAAGTGGTTTGCTAGTGGAAGATTGGCAGACAGAACATAGTTTTCAAAATTC